CAGCCACTTTGCTGAATTTGCTTATTACCCTCAGTAACTTCATTGTGGGTTCTTTGGGGTCTTCTACTTTGGAATCATTTCATCATTAAATAGAAGTACTTTAGTTTTACTTATTCCTTTCCAATTTAGATGCCTGGCTAAGAGTACCAGGCCAATGTTGGATAACAATAACAAAAGTGTCATTTTTATCTGTTCCTGATCTTGGGATGGGTGGGTTTCAGCGGGAGCTGTGGATATTTTATAAATGTTCTTTATCAGGTTGAGGAAATTCCTTTCCTTTTTCTAGTTTGTTTAGGTTTTCTCCTCATGAAAAGGTGTTGGATTTTGTCAAATGCTTCTTGTGTACCTATTAGACTATCTGGTAGGATTTTTCCCTTTCATTCTAGTAAAATGATGAGTTGCACTGATAGATTTTCATATATTAAGCCACTTTTGTATTGCTGAGATAAATCCTATCTGGCTATGCTTTATAACCCTTTTACTTTGCCACTGGACACTGTATTTTGTTAAGGGTTTTTCTATCTATATATACAGTGATATTACTCAATAGTTTTGTTTTCTTATGATATCTTTGTCTGGCTTTGTTATGAAGGCAATACCACCCTGATAGAATGAGCTAAGAGGTCTTCTCATATATTTCTAGAAAAGTGTGAGATAAGTCTCTGTCAACTCTTCTGTGATTGGTAGAATTTAACAGTCAAGCAATCTCATTCTGGGATTTTTTTGTCAAAAGGATTTTTATTACTGATTTAACCACTTTTATCTTTTTCTTTTTTTTTATGGTACTGGGGATTGAGCCCAGGTCCTTCACACTGAGTTACATCCCCAGTCCTTTTATTTTTTATTTTGAGATAGGGTTTTGTTAAATTCCTACATCCCCTAGTCTAGGGTTGAATTTGGAATTTTCTTACCTCAGCCTCCCAGAGTGCTGGGTTTATAGGTGTGTATCACCATGCCAGGCTAGTCTCTTTATTCTTTAAATTTTTTATTATTTCATGTTAGTTACATAGAATAATATGTTTCAATTTGGCATATTCATACATGCATATAACATGCTTTGATCATTTCCACTGTTCATTATCACCTTTTGCCCTTTCTTTCTCCCTCCTCGATTCCCTTCCTCTTCTCTAAGTCTCCATTCTACTTTCACATAATCACTTTTCCCCCTAGATACCATGTAGCAGAAAAACATGTCTTTCTGAGTTTGGCTTATTCAATTTAATGTGATGACCTCAGCTCCATCCATTTTTCTGAAAATGCCATGATTTCATTGTTTATGTCTGAATAGTACTCCATTGTGTACACATATCACATTTTTGTTCATTCATCAGTTAACAGGCACCTAGGCTATTTCCATAGCTTAGCTATGATGAATTTTGCTGTGATCTATGTGGGTATTTAGAGTTTTGTTTGTTATCCAACTTCATTTTCTTTGGTTATGTACTGAGCAGTGGTATATATTGATTAAATGGTAATTTAGTTTTGAGGAACTCACTACTGATTTTCATAATGGATGTATTAATTTACATTTCTACTAACAATGTATAGGAATATTTTTCCTCCTGCATCCAGCATTTATTATTTTTTTGTATTCTTGATGATAGCCATTCTGACTGCAGTGAGATAGTATTTTAATATAGATTTGATTTGCATTTCCCCAATGGCTAAAGATGTTAAACATTTTTCATATACTTATTGGCCATATATATTTCTTCTCTTGAGAAGTATCTGTCTGGTCCAGTAATGGTAAATCTTTTAGTGACCAAGTGCCCAAACTGCAACCCTAAACCCACTTATTCATTGCAAAATGCTAACACTGCAATTAACCTGAATACTGAGGTTTTAGTTCAGAAAAAACAGTTATCTGATGCTTGGCTGCCAGGGCAACTTGGCTCACGTGCTGACAAGAAGAGCTCAGCATGCCTGCTGTGGCAGGTGTGCCATAGGATCACCACCACTGGTCTAGTTCATTTGTCCATTTATTGATTATTTTTTCTTTTTTCTATTCATTTTTGATTTTTTCATTTCTTTTTGAGTCAGTTTGATAGTTTGTCTGTTCCTAGGAATGTGTCTATTTCATCTAAGTATCAAATTTATTGGCATATAATTGTTCATAAGATTCTCTCAGAACCCCTTTTATTTCTGTAACATAAGTAGTAAAGGTCTTGTTTCATTTAATTTTAGTAATTTGAATCTTCTCTTTTTTTTCAATAGTCTGTATTAAGAATTGTCAATTGTGTTGATCTTTCCAAACAACTGACTTCAATTTCATTAATTCTTTACATTGTTTTTCTTTTCTGTGTTTTGTTCCTTTCCATTATAATACTTATTGTTTCCTTTTTTCTGCATGCTTTGAATTTAGCTATGAATTTTCCTCTGAATATTACTTTTGCTGAATCCCACTAGTCATGGTATGTTGTGTTTCTCATTTGTCTCAACATATTTTTAGATTTCTCTTGTAACTCTCTGACTGAGTGGCTCTTTTGGAGTGTGTTAATTTTCACATAAATATTAGTCAGTTTTTCCATTGCTAGGGTACATATCTGATGTCCACAAACCACAACCTAAAGGAGAAGAGGTTCAATTAAGCTCATGGTTCAGGGGATTAAGTCCACAGTTTGCTGGCTCTAAGGTAGAAACATCATGTTCAAAGGGCAATGTTCAATAGTGGAAGAAAGCTGGCCACCTCATGGTAGCCAGGAAGCACAAAGCAAGGAGGATACACCTAGGGACACACCTCTTCCAATCAGGCCTCACGTCCTAAGAGCACATTTATCTATGAATTCATCAGTGGATCAATTTAGTGATGAGTGTAGCATCCCCATCATCCAATCACCTTTTAAAAGCCCTCTCTCTGAGCAATTGAAATGCTTGGCAAACATTCTAAATCTAAACCATAGCAACATATTTGTGTATTTTGCAAATTTTTTTCTGTTACTATTTTTTCAATTTCATTCTATTGTGGCCAGAGGACATATTTACTATGACACCAAACATTTAAATTTTTGAGGCTCCTGTTTGGAGCCTAAATATAGCCCATCTTAGGAAATTTCTCATGTTTCTTGGAGAAGAATATGCAGTTTTTTCCTCTGGCAATTGACTGTTATCTAGATGTCTGGTTGGTATATTTATTTCATGGTATTATTAAACAGTTGTATGTCTCTATTAATATTTTAAGTTTTTCTATCCATTATTATAAGTTGGGTATTGAACTATCCAACTGTTATTGTAGAACTACTATATCTCCCAATAATCTACCCATTTATGCATGTATTCTGGGGTTTTGCTGCAGGTATATATATAATATATATACCTTCTTCATAGCTTAACTTAGAAAACATTATATAATATTCTACTTCGCATTCTCAGTAATTTTTATCTTAAAATCTACTTTCTCTGGTATTTATAGATTTAATCTAGCTTTCAATTAGTTGATTGTATGGAATAATTTTTTCTATCCATTTACTTTCAACCTCTGTGTCTAAAAGAACTTTGTATACAATATATATTTGGATCTATTTTTAAAAAAGATATCCATTCTATTCTTTGCCTTTTAAAATTCATTCATATTTAACATACTTACTGAAAAGGAATGACTTCTGATTTTTTATTTTCTATTTGTATTTGAATATGTCATGCCTCTTATTTTGTCTTTACTGGTTTTTTTGGATGCTTCATTAATTTTTTTATGGTTACTATTTTTATTTTTTCACATTACCCTATCTCTATATTTTGTAGTTATTTTCTTAGCAGTTGACCTGGAGGCTATAATTGCAATATTAACTTATGACAATATATTTCAGATTAATACCAATTTACTTAGAATATTCTACCACAATCTTCACATAGATATAGGTGCTTCCCATGTTGTTACTGTCATAAGTTACATTTATATATATTAAGTGCCTACCAACACAGATTTATACTGTTTTATGTAAATGCTTTTTAAAGTATATGTTAAAGAGGATTTACATGCTAAAAATAGATTAATGCTTTTTTTGGTATTTATGTATATAGTTACCTTTAGCATGTGTTTTCTTTCTTTTTCTTTCTTTCTTTCTTTCTTTCTTTCTTTCTTTCTTTCTTTCTTTCTTTCTTTCTTTCTTTTTCTTTCTTTCTTTCTTTTTCTTTCTTTCTTTCTTTCTTTCTTTCTTTCTTTCTTTCTTTCTTTCTTTCTTTCTTTCTTTTTCTCTTTTTTTGTATTAGGAATCAATCTCAGGACCTTGCACTTGCCAGGCAAGTGCTTGTGCTGCTGAGCTATATCCCCGGCTGCATGTGTTTTCTTTTTTTGGGTTGAAGCCTGGTACATCCTGGAGGACTCCTATGGCATTTGTCTATGGAATATCCAGACCATAGGAGGAACATTTAATCTAAAAAGGCAGGTACTATCTGAGATCAGGGTTGGTTGAGCAGATAAAAGATGGGAGTGAATTTATAGATAAGAGTTCAGGGATTTCATGGCTAAGTTACTTGACTACCTTGATGACAGGAATTCTAAATTCACCTTTCCAGGATGAGGAGTGCAATGTTCAGAAAGCATGACTGATCCTATGAAATTTTAAGTAGTAACTGAAAGTAGATGAGAGGAAACTGAGTTAAGAACCACCTTCTTGTACTCACCTGTTCAAGTGCGGCACATGCCTAGGGATCCATTCTACAACGTTGGGTATTATCCTTCCCAAAGTCTTTTTTTGTTTGTTTGTTTTTTTTCTGGTACCAGGAATCGAACTCACAACCTCCTGCTTGCCAGGCAAGCGCTGTGCCACTGAACTAAATCCCTAACCCCTTTCCCAAAGTCTTGTAAACAAAAGTTTCTTTTGGTTCACTGGCTGTTCCCACTACAGTCACACTGCCTCCTCTTCCTGTAGGTGGCGCTGTGCCAAGAGAGTCTGCTCCCAGTAGTACTTCCGCCTTAAGGGCACGACGGCATGACGCCATGACGCCATGACGCTATTACGTACAGCGTACAGCGTCTCTCTGTGACGTTTCTTGTGGCGAGAGAAAGGTTGCTGCGGTGAGGAGATCAAGTTTGATCATGGGAATGAAGTGCTGAGGGATGCCGGAGACCTCACCAAAGGCCAGGAGCGGTCAAAGATTGAAGTAGAACTCAGTGGGGGAGGTGGAGAGAAACTGGCTTGACGGCCGTAGACTTTATTGGTGTCAGAGCTTCGGCAGCCATGGCGGTTGGATTTGGGGACCCCACCAGCGGCTTCCGCTACACTGAGGTAATTCGGCTTATCAACAATGAAATTTTAATGAATGGTGGTGGCCAAGATTTCTACTTGACCTTCCGCTCGCGGTCCTGGAATGAGATAGAGGACGGCCTTCATAACATCTTGAGTGACCCGCACATGCCACGCAACCACAAGAAGGCCTGCGCCTGGAGTGCGCTGGCCTTGGCGGTGCGGGTGGTTGCGAGACAGCGAGAGCAACACATACGACAAGTCAGGCGGCTGAAGGAACAGCTGAGAGGCCGTGAGGCACTCTCTTGGGCTTTGGCTTCGGAGCTGCAGCAAGTGCGTCAGCAGCGAGACCAGGCGACCACACAGTTGCAGCTCGCAAGGTCTGCCCTGCATCAGGCACAGAGTGAATGTGATATGCTCCGGATGAGGCTATTCCAATCTGAGAGGTGTGCACAGGTTGCCCTGCTAGCACAAGATATAGTGCCTGAGCCACGAGGTGAGCAGTTTGGGGCTGCAGCATGGCCCCTAAATGCAGAGCAACAAAGAGATGTGTGGGCCGTAGGAGAGCATGACAGGTCGCTTTTTGAAACCCCAGTGCCAGCCCCAAACAATACTATTTACATGCCAGATTTCTGGGCCCCGATTATGCCACCGCCTCATCCTGTCCTAGTGCCTCAGTTTCTCCCACTCCAGGCACCATTGCCAATGGGATTACCACCCTTGCTGCTTCCAACACCTGCAGTGGTCACAGAAACAGGGACTGGAGGCCCATTTCAGAGGCCTCCTGTGGGGATATACCCACCTATCCAATCTGCTATAGGGGGTTTCCAGGAGGAGATGGTACCACTGTGGGACCAGAGTTGCTACAGCCAGGTGGAAGGCCCTGTGATGCTACAAGGATCAGTCCTCCAAGGGGACAGAAGCCTCAGCCAGGAAGATCTGCAGAGACCTCAGGGAATGCCTCTCCTTGAGGAAAGGGGAAACAGTGGACAAGAGGAAGATCAACAGAGGCCTCTGGGAATGATACCCCTGGGGGACGGAAGGAACCATAACCAGGAAGAAGGTCTACTGTGGCCCCAGGGAATGTATTTCCTTGGGGAAAACCAGCAATATAGCCAAGAACAAGATCAAGAGAGACCTCAGGGGACGGCTTCCCTGGGGGACAGCAGAAAGTACAGCCAGGAAGATCATCAAGAGGGAGCCCAGGGTAAGGCACCCCCAGGTTTCAGAGGTATTCACAGCCAGGCGGAAAATGTGGAGAAGGCTGAGCTGTGCACAACATATCTAGGCATCAGCAGGAGCCACAGCAAGGCAAAAGGTACAAAATGCATTAAATCCATGACATCTCCAGGGACCAGAAGTCCAATCCAAGAATGTGTAGAAAAAGCTCAGGTTGTGATATCCACAGAGTTAAGTGGAATCCAGGAAGAAGATCAAGACAGACCCCAGTGCATGATACTCCCATCGTTGAGAAGTCACAAGCAGGAAGAAAATGTGGAGAGAACCAAGGACACTGCTAGGTGGAAGAGTTGGAGTCAAGCTGTGAAAGAAAGCCCCAAGAAACAGCAGCCTCAGCAGCAGAAAGTCAAGGAAACAAAAGAGAAAAAAGCCCTGGAATCCCAACAACAGAAAAAGTCTGTTTCATGCTATAGTCCAGTGAATTGGGTCTGTGCATGGTGTAAAGTGATGAATTTTCCATGGCACATGGCCTGCTATAAGTGCAAGAAGGTCCGTAGGCCGGAGGAGACTGGAGATGTTGACCCAGGACAAACTCACTAATTTCAGCAAGGTAAGTGAGAGTGGAAGCATTCCAAAGAGTTTTCTTAGACCTCTTTCCTTTTTAATTTAAAAGAGAATAGTAAAAAAAAAAAAAGAACAAGAGCAAAATACAAACAAAACAAAGCAAGGATATTAAAAATGATATGGGGTTTCAAACCAAATGATAGGGATTAACAGTGGTTGTTATAGTACATATTGTTATCTTCAGCAAAGTTGCTCAGATTACCAGATGTAAGAATGGAAGATTGATCAAACCATTAAAGGGAATAAGAAAATAATAATTTAAGAGAACATTAAAGACAATGCATAGTTTCACTAGACAGGATGGTAGGAATTCACTAGTGGTTGTTTTACTGCAAATTGTTGTCTTCACATAAGTTGCTCAGATTACCAGATATAAGCAGGCAAAATTGGTCAAAACATATAAAAAAAGTTTAAGCATTAACTGTTCACCTCAATAAATCACCAGATATCAGCAGTACAGTTATGCCAGGTATCCATATATATATGGTGCCTTACTACTTTCTTTTCCTTCTTTCTCTCATTCCAGTTCCATCTTTGAGCAATTTCTTTCCCTTTCATATTATCTATTGTACATTTTGGATTTTAGTTACTCTTCCATGTTCTTACACTAGGGAGACAATATGATGTTTACACATGTGGGTCCTATTTATTTCACTTATGAGTATGGTCTCTAGTTGCATCCATTTACCTACAAAAGCCTCAAGTTTATCTTTTTTATAGCTGAGTAATACTCCATTGTATAAAAATAGCACAACATTTTTCTCCATTCATCAGTTGATGGGCACTTGGGTTGTTTCCAAGATTTAACTATAACAAATTGTGCTGCTATAAACATGGGTGCACATATATTGCTGTGGTATGATGTTTTTAATACTTCTGGAAAAATACCCAGAAGGGGAATAGCTGGGTTAAGTGGGACTTCCAATTCCTTTTGTGAGGAATCTCCAAACTGATTTCCACAGTGTTTTCACCAATCTACACTACCACCAGAAGTGGAGAAGGGTTCCTTTTTCCCCACAGCCTCTCCAGCATTTGTCATTGGTTGATTTCTTAATGATAGCCATTCTTTCTGGGGTGATATGGAATCTCAGTGCTGTTTTAATTTGCATTTCTTGAATGACTAATGATGTTGAACATATTTTCATATATTTATTTGCCATTAGTATTTCTTCATCTGAGAAGTGCATATTCATCTCAGATGCCCAGTTTTGGATTGGGTCTTTGAAATTTGGGGGGCTGATTTTTTAAAGTTCTTTATATGTTCTAGATAGAAGTGCTGTGTCTGAGGGGCAGTTGGATAACTTTTTTTCCCAATTTGTTGGTGTTCTTTTTACCCTGTTGGTGATTTCTTTTGATGTGCAGAAACTTTTCAATAGGTTGAGATTCCAGTATTTCCCGCGCAGTTTTATTTTTGTTCATGAACTCTCTGCCTACCCCTGTGTCTTTGAGATTTTTACCTACTTTCTCTTCCAGTAGGTTTAGTGTTTCTGTTTTGATATTTAGCTCTTTGATCCATTTTGACTTTGGTGCGTGGTGATAGACATGGGTTTAGTTTTAGTATTCAGCATGTGGAAAGCCAGTTTTTCCAGCACCATTTATTAAAGAGGCTATCTTTCTTTCAGAGAACATGTTTAGACCATTTGTCAAAGATAAGGTGGCTGAGTGTGTTTGTTCATTTGTGTCTGCATCTTCAAATCTGTTCCATTGAACTTCAGGTTTTTGTGCCAGTACCATGCTGATTTTATCACAGTTGCTTTGTAGTACAATTTCAAGTCAGGCATTGTGATGCCTCCTGCCTTTCCTTTGTTTCCCAGGATTGCTTTTGCTATTCTAGGCCTCTTCTGGTTCCAGATGAATTTTAGGAATATTTTTTCTAGATCTGTGAGCTATACTAATGGTATTTTAATTGGGATTGCTTTGAATCTGTACAACAATTTGGGGAGTATGGCCATTTTCACAATGTTGATTCTTCCTATCCATGAGCAAAGAATATCTTTCCATTTTCTGAAATCTTCTTTGATCTCTTTTTTCAGAGTACTGTAATTTTCATTGCATGGATCTTTTACTTCTTTTGTTAGATTGATTCCTAAGTATTTCATTTTTTTAGATGCTATTATGAAAAGTGTTGTTTCACTAATTTCTCTTTCAGTCTGTTTGTTGTTTGTGTACAGGAATGCTATTGATTTTTGAGTGTTGACTTTGTATTCAGCTATGATACTGAAGTTATTAAATCTAGAAGTCATTTGGTGGAGTTTTTGGGGTCTTTTGTGTAGAATACTATGTCATCTGTGAATAATGATAATTTTCCTTCTTCTTTTCCTATTGTTATTCTTCTTATTTCTCCCTCTTGTTTAATTATTCTGGCTAATATTTGCAGAACTGTGTTGAATAAGAGTGGGGACAGTGGACATCCTTGTCTTGCTCCTGATTTTAAAGTGAAAGTTTTTAGTTTTTGACCATTTAGAATGATGTTAGCTGTTGGTTTGTCATAGATGGCTTTTATCAGATTGAGGTAAAGTCCATCTATGCCAATTTTCTGTAGGGTTTTTATAATGAATAAGTGTTGGACTTTATCAAAAGCTTTTTCTGCATCACTTTAGATGATCATGTGATTTTTGTCTTTGGCTCTACTGACGTGGTGAATTACATTAATTGATTTGTGTGTATATTGAACCATCCCTGCATTCCTGGATTGAATCCCACTTGGTCATGATGTATAATCTTCTTTATGATTTCTTACATTCTATTTGCTAGTATTTTATTGAAAATTTTTGCATCTATATTCATTAGGGAGATTGGCTTGTAGTTCTCTTTTTTAGGTTGGGTATTTCTCTGGTTTTGGTATCAGGATAATACTTAACTCCAAGAATGAGTTGGGGAGAATTGCTTCCTTTTCAATTTCCTTAAAGAGTTTGAGAAGAATTGGTGTCAAATTTTCTCTAAATTTCCTGTAGAATTCAGCTGTGAATCCATCAGGAGCTGGGCTTTTCTTCATTGGAAAGTTTTTTATTACATTATCTATTTTGCTTGCTGATATAGAGTTATTCAGGATTTTTATATCTTCTTGATTGAACTTTGGTAATTCATATGTATCTAGGAGTCTGTCCATTTCCTCTGTGTTTTCCATGCTGTGAGAGTAAAGATTTTCAAAGTAGGTATTGATGATCTTCTGAATTCAGGATCTGTAGTGATTTCATCTTTTTCATTGCTTATTGCATGTATTTCAGTTTTTTCATTCCTTTTTAAAATAAGGTTGGCTATGGGTTTGTCAATTTTATTTATTTTTTTAAAAAACAAACTCTTTGATTCACTAATTCTTTGTATTTTTTTTAGTCTCCATTGCATTAATTTCTGTGCTGAGCTTTATAATTTCCTGCCTTCTCTGGGCTTTGGTTTGATTTGTTCTTTTTTAGAAGCTTGAAGTGCAGCCTAAGATTGTTTATTTATGCTCATTCTGTTTTCCTGAGGTGGGAATTCATTGCTATAAATTTCCCTCTTAAGATTCTTTTCATTGCACCATACAGGTTTCTATAAGTCATATCTAGATTTTCATTTGATTGTACATAGTGTTTAATATCTTCTTTGATTTCATCTGTGACCCATTGTTCAGAAGTGAGCTGTTTAATTTCCATGTGTTTATGGATTTCTTGTGATTTCCTTTGTCATTAATTTCCAATTTCATTGCACTATGGTTCAATAGTATGCATGAGGTAATTTCAACTTCTTTGCATTTCCTTAAGCATGTTCTATGTACTAATATATGGTCTATTTTAGAGAATGTCTCATGTGCAGCTGAGAAGTGTGTGTATTCTGATGCTGTTGGGTGGAACACTTTGTAAAGTTCTACTAAGTCCATTTGTTCACATGTTTGGTTTAGTTCTGTTATTTCTTTGCTAATTTTTTGTCTAGTTGATCTATGTCTTTGTGACAATGGTGTATTAAATTCCCCTGTTACGATTGTGTTGCTGCTTATTTCATTTTTCTTGTCTGTTAAAATTTGTTTTATATAGTTGGGTGCTCCTTTGTTTGGTGCATAGATGTTTATGATTGTTATCTCCTCCTCTTGATTATTATTATTATTTTTTTACTTTAAAGAGAGTAGTAAATGAGAAACAAAGAAATCAAACAGTAGCAGCATCCCAGTATCACAAACATAAACAAATCAAAGCAAGAACATTCATCTCTTCCTCTTGAAGTTTTCCCCTCACAAGTATGTAGTGACCTTCTTTGTCTCTTTTGATTGTTCTTGGTTTGAAGTTTCCATTGTCAGCAAACATAATAGCTACACCTGCTTTTCTCTGCATACTTGTCACATGGAGTATCATTTACCGTTCTTTGATTTTCAGTCTATGAATTTCCTTTTGAGTTAAATGTGTTTCTTGTAGATAGCATATTGTTGGATTTTGTTTCTTGTTGCAATCAGCTAGTCTGCTTCTTTTGGTTAGTGAATTGACACCATTTACTTTGATGGTTATAACTAATGTATATTGGCTTATTTTTGTCATGTTGTTTTCCTGCTGTTGGTTTCTCTTGTTTCCCTCTGTTTAGTTGCTTGCTCTGCTTGGTGGTTCCTTTTTGTTGTTGTTCTTAAGGTTGTGGTCTTTTTATCTCTTTCTTGAATATCTTTTAGTACTCTTTGTAGGGTTGGTTTGGTGCTCACGAAGTTCTTCAGTTGATTGTTATCATGGAAATATTTTATTTCTCAATTAATTTTGAAGGATAGTTTGCAGGGTACATCAATCTGGGCTGGAAGTTGTTTTCTTTCAGGATCTGAAATATTTCACTCCAAGCTCTTCTTGACATGATGGTTTCTGTTGAGAAATCTGCTGTGATTCTGATGAGCTTTCCTTTATTGGTGATCTGTTTCTTTTCTCTAACTGCTTTTAATATTCTGTTCTTTTGTTGAATTTCTGGGATCTTGATCACTATATGTTTGGGTGTAGATTTACTTTGTTTATGGCTACTTGGAGTTCTATATGTCTCACTTACCTGGATGTCCAATTCTTTTGCTATGCTTGGGAAATTTTCTGCTATTACTTCCATAAATGTTCTTTTTATGTCATTTGTGCTGACACCTTCTGTTTCACTGATACCTCTTAATCTTACATTATTTTTCTTTGCTTCATCTTGCAGCTGTTGAATTGTTATTTCTTGTTTTTTTGTTATTTTTAAAAGATCCTTTCCTTACATGGTCATTCGCAGTAATGCTGTCTTCAAGGTCTGAAAGGTTATATTCAGCTTCATTCAAGTTACTGAGGCTCCTGAAGCTGTCTGACTTTTAGCTTAGCTCCCCTGTGGGTGTGGAGTGGGGGCAGGGAGTGGCACCCAAAGCCCCTGAGGTTGTCTAGGCCTCTGCCTGGCTCCCAAGCTTGTGAGGGAGGGGCATCGGCAGCTCATCAGCATTTTCCGAGGTTCAGCTCAGCTCCAATGGGGGTGGAGTGGTGGAAAGTGGTTCTCCAGGCCTCTGAAGCTGTCTGGGGCTCTGCCTGGCTCCCAAGCTTGTGGGGGTGGGCAGCAGCGGCTCACCAGCCTTCCTGAAGCTGTCTGAGGTTCAGCTCTTTCAATGGGGCAGGGGAGTGGTGGAGAGTGGGTCCCAGGCCCCTAAAGCTGTCCAGGGTTCTGCCTGCCTTCCAAGCTCATGGAAGAGGGGAGGCAGCGGCTCACCAGTATTCTCGAAACTGTCTGAGGTTCAGTTCAGCTCAGACCTCCTTCTTATAAAACAGCAATTTACTTATTTCACAGAAAATTTGAAGCCAAAACATTGAAAAAATTAAGTAATTCATTATTCTTTTACCCAAATTAACCACTTTTTATCATTGTGCACACACATACCTACAACTATGCACATATTTATATTCTTTATTTATTTGAACAAAGATGGTCAATGAATATTACAATCTTTAAACTGGGAATTTTTCCTAATTACATGTAAATTTTGCAGGTGGTGGATTCTTGATGGCTGTTACTAACGTGGATACCCTGGAGAAGCTGAAGTCATGAAGCCTTTCCCCTCACCCCTTTCTGCTTTGTTCTTTCCTAAAAACATGCATGTGATTGGTAGCAGCCATATGCTTTTACAGTTGTAAGCTACATTGAATTTTAGAAACACCACTTTTCTTAACAATACTATTATTCCTTTGGAAACTGCTGCAGTGTTTGTGTGTACTTCTTTGGGGTTTTACATTTTATAGGTGGGTTCTTGTTTTTGTGTCTAATTCCCATCAAATTTGCTTGTTGCTGAAGAAGCTGAACCTGTACCATTGGAAACTTTCTCCAGAGCTGAAAGACATACTGGTAACACTTTGATTCTGATAGATGCAGACTTCAGTGATCGCCCTCCCCCTTCCCCTCTTGGAGCCAAGAAGTGTGAGAAGTCAGTTCCTGGAAGAAGAGCTGCTTTGGCACTCATGGGGAGATAGTAGAGAATGAAATAGTTTTGTTAGAATTTAATTTCTCTATTGGAACAAGATTAACTGGGAAGAGTTTGAGTGGTTAAATTCTGTGTGTGACAGAAACTGATTAACTTCATTAAACAAATAGTTATTGATTGCTTAATTTTTAGGAATTACAACTACATGATATTATCTTATGTACTCATCATAGTCTTTTTGGTGAGTTTGGTTAGATGACAAGAAAGTATAATTTGGGATACACATTAAATCAGGAATGTCTTTGCCTTGCATATATCATGCATTGGGAATGCAATTGAAATAACATCCAGATCTATTTTTGCAGTTCTGGGGGGCAATGTGAAAGCAGGTTTTATGGATGGACTTGTGTGACTAAACTGCTTATGGCCTTCATCTCAACTGAGACAAATGAGCAGTGGCAGAGATCAGGAAAGTAGCCTCATGAAAGCACAGGCTCTAATGCTTTGCTGATGTTCTCTTTTGAGAGTCACAGTTGTTTTTTTGGCTGCCCACCAGCTTTCCAGAAAGACCACTGATCTTCTTAAAGAAAGATAGTACTTGGGAGAGTACTGAATATACACTCCAGTCCTCAGCCCCAGACAATTTCCACCCCAAGCCTTTTTCCATTCAGGAGTGCATGAAAAACAAAATGGATTCCAAAGACACACTAAAGCCACTGTGCTATATATGGATGGTGCTTCTGTTGGGAGGACTGGTTGGGTTAAAAATAGAACTGCCCTGGCAGGAGCAGGTGGGAGGTTAGATCCACCTCCTATCTGAACAAAAGGTGTCCCTGAGTTCCTTCAGCTAACCACGGTAAGTCTTTGTCATAGGTTTTTTGATCTTAACTAGTAATAAACTGCATTTGCATGATGTGTCAGCTGTGTAGTGTGTGTCTCAGAGCAGGTTTGCTCAGAAATAGCAGTTTAAATCTTCATCTTCCATCTCACTGAGGTGAAAGACAGTTGAATCTCATTCACTATTGGAGAGTTCCTCTTCCTACAAGTTATTCAAGAACTGGGGACACTTTTGTGGGGCCTTAAATCCAATGTGATTTTCACTGCTATACTCACTATCCAAGTACACTCGGTCCTTTGAAGATGGGCATGTCTAATGATCTAGGACTGATGGAACACAGGGATTGAGGTGGGGTGGTGGGAAGTTCTTCTGCCCAGGGTGGAGCACTAATGGCCTGGGTCTAGCATCCCTCTGTGTACCAGAATGCCATTTTCCAAATCTCCTTAAAATACCTTGATAGCCCATGAGCAGAAATTTACCTCTTGTCTTTCTGACCTCCAAGGCAGTATTTCTTTTCTCTTGTGAATAAGCCTATCAAAGCACTTAGGATTCTGGAAAGCAGTCACATTGCTTATAACACAAATATTTCATGAGGCCAAGGAGAGTGGAAGCTAGTTATTTACTTGGTAGAGGGGTGGGAATGGAGCGGAGAACAAAAGTGACTACTTCATCAGCATTGTCACTCCCTTAGAATTGTGATTATTGGGAGGACCTTTCTTGGGAAGAGAGTGCTGGAGAAGAAGAGGTCTGGGTTGTTGAAACCCAGGGGCAAACTGGGGAAACACCTGATGTCCACAAATTAAAGGAGTAGGGATATATTTTGGCTCATAGACTTAGAGGCAGAAACATCATGGTGGAGGGGGCATGGTAGAGCAGAGCTGCTCATTTCGTTGAAGCAGGGAGAGCACCAGGAAAGATCATCCGAGAGGAAGGGTTAGGGTCCAGCCATGTTCCCCAATGTCACATACCCACGACCCATTTCCTCCAGCTAAGCCCCAACCTCCTAATAGCCCATTTAGCTATGAACTCAGTAATGAATTAACCCATGAACAAGGTCAATGTTCTTATAATCCAGTCACTTCTTGGCAGGAGTCACAGTCCAGTCAGGCTGACAATCAGGATTATTTAGTGCAATGTCCCTCAGAGACATCAAACCCAAAGCTAGGTTGTCTAGATTGGGAGTGGTTTGTGATGTTCATGTGTGCTAACTGTTCCTTGGAATTTTTGCAAAATAGGACACAGATGGAATTTGGAAGTGTTCTAATGCCTCTTTTGATGTACTAGCAGGACATTCTAGGTCTCATTACAATTGCTTCTTTTATGGCTTCAAAACATACTGTACTGGTTACTGGCATGGATTTAGGCCTATATAAAAACAAACTTGCCTTGTGCATAGCTTTTATATATTTTACATATGATTATATAGTCTTCAGGGCTGACCTTTTTCAAAGTAACCTGAAACACTGAGAATGTTTACATCACTATTTTCTTTGAGGCTGGGTACATAAAAGAAAAGATAGTAGGTTTCTATGACAAAATCTTAGGCTTTTGTATCAGGGAGAACTGAGTTCAGATGCTTGTTCTGTTACTAACTAACCTTGTGACATCAAATATTGTACAGAATTTTTCTGATTCCCCAAAAAATGTTAGTTCCCTTTCCCTGCCATAAGGTTTCATTGCTCTGGGGGTTATGCTGCTGAGTATAAGGGCTTATTAGGAAGGTACCATTGTTTACTGTGTGCCAGATTCTCTAAGCATATTATGTCTTTTGGTAACTAAGTATAATAGGTACCCATATTTATAATTCTTCAAAGTGGGCACTAGTGCCTTTATTTTACATATAAAATAAAATTTTGCTGGTTCTGGTATCTGTGCTCTTCTCACATTATCTTAATATTTTACATCAACTAAGTAATGTATTTGTATGTTAATATGGATCATTAATTCCTAAGCCCAATGAAATGACTGTCAGGGGAGGGATTTTGAGGCATAGTGGGAGTGTTGACCCTGGAGCTTACGGGTATGGCCTCAAGTTGCATCCATTTACCTATAAAAGCCTTGAGTTTATCCTTCTTTATAGCTGAGTAGTACTCCATTGTATAACAATACCACATCTTTCTTATCCATTCCTCAGTTGATGAGCATATGGGTTGTTTCCAAGATTTAGCTGTTATAAATTGTGCTGCTATAAACATGGGTGCACATATGTCACTGTATGATGTTTTCAGTTCTTCTGGGAAAATACCCAAAAGGGAAATAGCTGAGTCAAATGGGATCTCTAATCCTATTTTTTTGTTGTTGTTGTTGATTTTTTTTTTTAGGAATCTCCTTGCTGGTTTCCACAGTGGGTGTACTTGTCTACACTCCTACCAACAGTGGAGAAGGGTTCTTTTTTCCCCCACAGACTCACCAGAATTTTGTTATTGGTTGATTTCTTGATGATAGCCATTCTTTCTGGGGTGAGATGAAATCTCAGTGATGTTTTAATTTACATTTCTCGAATGACCAGTAATGTTGAACATTTTTTCATATATTTATTTCCCATTTGTATCTCTTCATCTGAGAAGTGTGTATTCACCTCTGATGCCCATTTGTGGACTGGGTCTTTGAATTTGGGGGTATGATTTTTTTCAGTTCTTCATATGTTCAAGATTGAAGTCCTTTTTCTGAGGGACTGTTGGCTAAAATTTTTTCCCACTCTTTGGGTTTTCTTTTTACTCTGTTGGTGATTTCTTTTGATGTGCAAAAACTTTTTAATAGGATGAGATTCCAGTTATTGATTCTTCCTGTGCAGTTTGGGTTTTCTCCATGAACTCTCTTGCTACAACTATGTCTTCAAAATTTCTACCTACTTTGTCTTCCAGTAGATTTAATGTTTCTGTTTTAATATTTAGATCTTTGATCCATTTTGACTTTAGTTTAGTGCATGGTGATAGACATGGGTCTAGTTTTAGTCTTCAGCATGTGGAAAGCCAAGTTTTACAGCACCATTTATTAAAGAGGCTATCTTTCTTCCAGTGAACATATTTGGACCCTTACCAAAGATTAGGTTGCTGAGTATGTTTGTGATTATATCTACATCTTCTAATCTGCTCCACTGATCCTTAGGTCTGTTTTTTTTGCCAGTATCATGTTAATTTTATGATAGTAGCTTTGTAGTATAATTTCAAGTCAGTGGTTGTGATGCTTCCTGCCTGTTCTTTGTTGCGCAGGATTGCCTTTGCTATTCTAGGTCTCTTCTGTTTCCAAATGAATTTTAAGAATGTTTTCTCTATATCTGTGAGGTATGCTAGTAGTATTTTGATTGGGATTGCATTTAAACTGTAGAGCAATTATGGAAGTATGACCATTTTCACAACGCTGGTTCTTCCTATCCATGAGCAAGGGATATCTTTCCATTTTCTCTCTCTCCTTTCTTTCTTTCTTTCTTTCTTTCTTTCTTTCTTTCTTTCTTTCTTTCTTTCTTTCTTTCTTTCTTTCTTTTTGAGATAGGGTCTCACTATGCACTTAAGGCTGATCTTGAGCTCACTTTGTAGCCCAGGCTGGTCTCAAACTCACAATGATCCTCCTGCCTCAGCCTCCTGAGTGCTTGGATTACAGGCATGTGCTACCATGCCCAGCCTATCTTTCCATTTTCTGATATACTCTTCAGTCTACTTTTTTGGGGTACTATAGTTTTCCATCAAGAGATATTTTACTCCCTTTGTTAGATTGATTGCTTTTTATTTCATTTTTTTGGATGCTATTGTGCAGGGTGTGATTTCCCTAATTTCTGTCTCAGTGACTTTGTTATTAGTGCTCAGGAAAGCTATTGATTTTTGAATGTTCACTTTGTATTCAGCTATGCTACTAAATTTGCTTATTAAATCTAAAACTCTTTGGATGGGGTTTTTGGAGTCTTCT